AATTAATCATATTTGATTTAATGAATCATCATAATGAACATTACAAATGTAGATCAGCGATAATTTGCTATTGCAGTTCAATTGGGCTTTTATATACTCAGAGCAGTTGAAATTCAACTGGTTTTATAAACATCAGCCTTTATGTATCTATAAATACCTCAATCCGTTTAGATTACAAAAATATACAAAATAATGAAATGTTAATAAAATTGTGTTAATATATAAAAAAATTTCCCTAACTATAAACACTGAACATTATTTTAATTTAAAAAAAGGCGTAACATTCAATTGTTATATACTATAAAACAATTAAGTTTGTACCTTTAGTTATACTCAAATAAAAAATATGTAATTCTTTTTATACATATCTATATAATTATAAGATGTTATGGGCCATAATTCATTTTAAGATAGTTTCTCCTTTTTGTTTTACAAGAAAAAACATTGATTTTTTATAAATTAAAATTTTTCCTTAAATAAAAGTCTCCTCATCTTTTTTTCCAACTGACACTTTTTCAACTCTCAACCACAACTTCGTATATTTTTGTTAAATGTAAAAATTATAATTTCTAACGACTTTGTTAGTGAAGTACTATGCATTTAAAGTTAGGCAGTTTTTGTTATGTGATAAAATTAATTTAAATTAGAAGAAACTTTTATAACTACATGGAAATAACTGTAACTCTCGATAAAAATGGTACTAGGAATAACAGTGTATTAAGGAAATATTAAATTGTACACAGAAAGAATAATTGATGTAGTATACACAGTTACAAAGCCATAATAGCGTCTTAAAAACTGACTTTAGGACTTAGTGTAGCTATAATAATTTTAGGAATATTTTGATAACATATAAAGGCTGATATAAAAATGAGAAAAGTAAATCTGACATTGTAATTAAAATATTATAACTATTGATTTGTATTTTCAATCTATTTTATAGTAAATGTACGTAATAATTTTGAATGTTAACAATAACAATTGAACTGCGAAGTGAATATCTATAGTACTATCATATTACTAAAATATATATAGTAAATTTTGTATGCATAGTAAGTGAAAGTTGCTGAAACTGTTATCAGTTGTTATCATTTTTCTATCACATCTATCATATGCATTGATATTGATGTATGCAACTTTCATTTATTTATTATTAACTATATATCCTCAATTTTATCTGAAACACATTGCTAATAATTTGTAAGATGCGTGTAAAATGTTTTTGAACCATTAATCCACTGTGCTATGATGTTAGGGGGAGAACCAAGTTTCCACATATTAATGATCAAGCTACATTTCGTGACGTTACTTCCATGTCACTAAGTATTTTGCAGGTGCAGTGC